GGGACTGGGCTGGGATCTCCTGCGTCCCCTCAGGGCTCTCCCGGCAAGCACAGCGTAATGGACCATCCCAGGCAAACCACTTAAGCCCGAGTCGCTCAGTCTGCTCTCTGCGGGGTGGGAGCAGTGCCTCCCTGGCTCCTGAGACTAACGCTGACCATTTAATGAAGCCAGTACATGAACACCTCAGCTGCCTGCCTGCCACACCGTAAGCTCCCAGGACGCAACTGTTTCTCCGGCTGGACAGCAGCCCCCCCCCGCCCCCCCCGCCAGGGACAGGATGAAGGCCCTCTGCTCAGGGCCATGGAGGGGCTGAGTCAGCCTGACTGAGCCGCTGAGGACGACGGCTCCCGGGGGAGGGGCCAGCTGCCCGCCCAGGGTTCTGCTCCAGGCCACCTTGGCCAGCCGAGGGAAAGCTCCTCAGTGCCTCCCACCCTGGGCTGAGTTCCAGAAGCAAATACACGCCTGGGTCCTGACCCTGCCTCTACCACTTACTCACTGGGACCTGGGGAAAGGTGCTCAACCTCCCTGTGCCTCAGTTTCCCTACCTGTAGAATGGGACACAACTTCCAGAGTTGCTGGCAGGGTTAAATGGTTTAATAGGGATGAGGCTCGCGGCATGGCAGGTTAACTCGCCCACTTAGCATGCTTGTATCCCATACTGAATCCCCTCTCACGGCGCCAGTTCGAGTCCCGTCTCCTCCACCGCTGATCCAGTTTCCTACTAATGCACCTGGGAGGCAACAGATGCTGACTCAGGTGCTCGGGCACCCACATGGGAGACCCAGAAGGAGTTCCAGGTCCCCGGCTTCAGCCTGGCCCAGCCCCTGCTGTTTCGGCCTTTGGGGAGTGAACCAGAGGGTGGAAGGTGTGGGTCCCTCCCTCACTCTGTCACTCTCCCTTTCCAACAAATACATAAATGAATCTTTTTAAAATGGGTAACACACATTAGGATTCCTGTAACAGTGCTACCAGTGTGTCCACTGGCACCCGCCCCCACCCCCACGTCATCGCTCTCTGAGGCCCGGCTCTGCCCTGTGATCTGGAGCGTGTGGCGCCATACAGTGACAGAGGTCAGCAGCCATGCAGCGTGTGGCACTGGTGGACACCCAAAGGCAGCTCCCGCCCCTCCTCTCACTTGACCCCCAAGGGGCCAGACCGGGAGTCATGGCGGGGCCAGACCCCCACCAGGGCTTCCTGTGGTGCCCTGGCCTGATCTCTGACCATTGGCCTCAGACTCCCCCACTCTGGGCCAAGGGGTCCCTAACCACAGCTGCACTGGCCGGCTTCTCCCTCACCCCGTTCCCTCTGCCCTTCCCCATTTCCTCGGCATCCCCGTCGGAGGCGACACGACCCATGGAGGCCCGCAAAAGGGCGGCAGGGAGCGCTGGTGGCCAAGGGGTGTCATCCCTCAAGCAGCACAGGGCCCAGCACAGGCTCCCAAGGGTTAAGACCCAGAGCGAGGGGCGGGGGGCCAGGGTCAGCGCACCGGACAGACGGGCCTGAAGCCCAGGGCTGCTCCCCTCCCCCTCTCCTGGGAACAGAGGCCACTTGTTTGGGCAGTGGCGGCTGGCTTTGAGCTCAGCCAAGGGAGAGTGGGGTAGGAAGGGGAGAGGCCCTGGAGAGAGGAGGGGACCCCCTTCCCTGCACATGCCCTCAGCCCGGTCCGGCCCAGCCCACATGCTGTCAGGGGCCACCAGCCCGCTGAATGGACCCCTTCCCTGGGTTCTGCTTTCCCTTCCTTCAAATGCTCGATGCTGAGGGCAGGGTTCAGACTCAGGCCTCATTCTTGTCCCAGCACAGTCTCTCCTTGGGTGCTTGAGGCTTGGGCTTATCGCCCCATCCTACAGATGGGGAAATGGAGGCTCTGAGGAGGTCTGAACCCTTGCAAAGTCCCACAGGGCTGTGCTGGTGGCTGCACAGGGATCCCAGGCCCAAGGCCCCAGTCAGTCTACAGTTCTGTGGGACCCCTCCCCCTAGACAGCTCCAAGGAGACCCTTCCTAAGCTGCGCCATGAGCCGGGAAGCCTGGGCAGGATGGAGGGAGCAACACACAGCCCATGGCAGAACCAAAGTCCCTGAGGACCACAGTGGGGTACGGGGCGGGGGGGGGACATATAGAGGAGCACGGCTGGAGCCCAGGTGGTGGGGTGCAGCCTGGGGCAGTGGGGGCTTCGGCGGTCCCAGCCCCTCCATCTCACCAGTCACCAGCACTCTGCCTGGAACGCCCTGCGCTACTCAGCCAAGTGCCCTTGGGGAGGCAGGGAGACCCAGCAACCAGCCACGAGACACCAGGAGGAGCTCCCTCAGCAGCCCTGGGCTGCACCCCTTCCAGCCTCGCTCATCCCCTGCCATCCCTCGTTTGAGCAGGTTGGCAACACCCAAGTTCTTGCCTCTGCACACACTCTGCCCTCCCAGGGCGGGCCCCCTCCCTGGAAACCACCACTTAACTGCAGGGACCCCACAGTCATCTCCTGCCCTGGGCCCGCACCTGCCCACACCTGTCTCCTGGCTGTGCCGGCTCCTTCTGCCCTGTAATGATCTCACTGGGCGGTCACCCCCAGCACAGAGGAGCAGCAGCAGCAGCAGCTCTGGGCTGTGGAAACCAAGCACACAACCAAATCCTCCCCTCCACCCGCCCAGGACACCCATCGTCTGTCCCTGAAGGCCGCTCCCCAGGGCAGGGGCCCTGGGGAGGAGGAAGCACAGGGGGCAGTTTCCCAGCACCCAAAACCCCTGCTGAAGATCTGAGGGCAAACACCCACCCTGTGGCGCCCAGCCCGTGCTCCATGCCTCTGCTCCCCAGTCCCAGCCATCCACTCCCAGCTTGGCCCCATTCAGCACACACACACACCGCCTCTCGCCAGCAACTGGGCCAGGGAGGGGCTCCTGGGAGGCCGTGCCCCCATTTACCGGTGGGGAACTGAGGACTGAGGTGCAGAGACCGGAAGTAGCCTGCCCAAGGTCACGGGAGCCCCAGGTCCTAGGCACAGGGTCCCACGGATCTGCAGAACTGTAATGGGCTCAGCAGTCAAGAAGGTGCCAGTCTCGGTCTCACAGAGGAAAACCGGGGCGCCCGCGAGCACTGGCTCTGGAGCCCAGGAGCACGCACGGCCAAGGGCTAAGAGCTGGAAGCCCCGCGACCCGGCCCTTCTTCCGGTCCATGGCCCCACCGCCCATCCGCAGGGGCCCACTTACCCCCAAGCCACAGGACCGACCCGACCCGGGAAGCCGGCGCCAAGGCGCGCTGTCGGCGTGTGGCCTCGGCGTTCCCTTCCGCAGAATGGGGAAGCTCGGACCACACCTGGCGAGGTGCTGGGGACGTGGATACCCGGCAGCGGTTCCGATCTACTTGGAGTGAAGACTCCACGCACAGACCCGGGATCCCCCGCCGCCGCCGGCTCACGCCGCCGCCAACTCGCCGCCGCCGCCGCCGCCGCCGGCTGGGCGCGCCCACCCCACGGGGCGCTTCCGCCCGCCCCACGTGACGCCCCGGGGCGGGGGAAGGGGCCGGAACCCGGCCCGGCCCCGCCCCCGGCCCAGTAGCGGACCTTGGGCCGAGCGCCTGGCTCTCTGGCCCGACCCGCGGGTCCCTGTGGCCTTCTCTCCTGACCCTCCGGGTTGCAAGTCCTGTGTGTCTCCAGAGGTCCAGGTACACGCCCACCAGCCGCCGCCCCAGTCTCCATCTCTCCCTGAGTTTCCCACCTTCGCCACCCCTCTTCTGGCCGATATGAGAGGCCACACTCCCCAACCCCACTCCACCCCTCTGTGATCCCTCACCATCTCCTCCAGGGGCAGGGCAGTGGGAAAGGGTCCTGCCCAGTCCCAGCGCCCCAGGCTCCCTGGGCTGAAGGCTGTCGCGGGGCTCAGCACCTAGGCACCTTCACCAGTCTAGGGAGCCGGACAGCCTCACTCATCCTCCCCCTCCCGGCGAGGGCCCCAGGCCTGGCGGGCATTTCTAGGACATCTCTGAGGCTGGCCAAGCCAGAGTTCTAACTTCTCTGGGCTTCTGCTCCACCACGTGCACACTGGGTGGCTGCGGGGCTTACCCTGAGAGGAGGAAGGTGCCATTCATTTAAGCCCCTGCCACCTGCCGGGCCGCATGGTAGACAATGCAGCCCTTTTAGCTCCCCCACCCCACACGCCCACACGCTCTGCTGGGAGGCAAAACCCACCAGCCCAGGCCAGGGATTTAGGGAGTGAGGCCCCGAGAAGCACCTGGGCTGGGCTGGGCTGGGAGTGAAACCACTCCTGGCCGGTTAGAGTATCTCTCGCCCACCTCCAGCGGCCACTCACCCTGCACCCCGGGGGGAAAGTGTGGACTCTGAGCAGACTGTGCCTCCTTCCAGGGGCACCGCCTGGGTCCCAGGATCATGAAGGGGCAAAGCCATAGGGATGAGCAGAGCACAGGGGCTTCCTCTGGACCTGGCGGTGGGGTGTCCCTTGGGCAGCAGAGGGCCACAGACGGTGGTGCGGTGATGAGGCAGCCATGCCCACACCTCAGAGCATGGGCACCGGGATGGGGCCTGTGAGCCAGAGGTCCCACCACTTCTGCTCCCACAGTCCTGAGGTCTCAGATGACCCAAGAAGGGCCCAAATCACAGAGCCCTGCCCTATAGTCCAAGACCCTCCCTGCTCCAGGCCATGCTGCCCCACCTTTATGTCTGCGCCCTCCTTTCTGCGATGACAGGGGAGTGGCGGCCCCCGCGTCCAGTCCGCCCCTACCCTCTGAGCCCAGGCTCTGGCCAGGCCTGCTCCCTCCCCAAGGGCAGTGGCCAGTAGGTAGATGAAGAGTGAGATGAAGCACAGCCGGGGAGGAAGGGCCAGGAGGGCGCGGTGGCCCCGCCGCAGCTGCGGCTGCACGTGGGAAACGAGCAGCGGCCTAAAGCATCAAAGGCCAGGTGAGCAGCAACCACACTGCCAATGCGATCCACAGAGGCGGGGACGCGGGGCGCGGTAGCGACGGGGGCGGGGGGCGGCATGCACGCACAGGGAGGAGCCGGCTGAGGCTGTGGGATCGTTTATTGGGGCTGTGTCCAGCAGGGCCGCAGCACTCGCCTGGGCCCGAGCCCAGTGCCCCCCGAGGCGCGGGCGGGGGTGGAGGGGAGAGAGTGCGGGAGGACCCGCGGTCCCCGGGCCCGGCCCGTCTTGTCCGGTCCGGTGCTTGCAGCGAAGCCGCGCTCAGGTGAGCGAGGTGTCGTCGTCGCTGCCCTCCCCGCCCGCGCCGCCCGCGCGCTCCTCGCGGCTCTCAGCCACGGCGCTTTCGTCGATGTTCTCCAGCGAGTCCGCGTGCTGCACCGACAGCTCCGACAGCGCCAAACTCGGCAGCGGGCTCTGCTCCGGGTGCAGCCACGGCTTGAAGTGCGGCTGATGTTTCTGCTTCCACTCAGGGTACTTGACGCACGCCTTGTACATCTTCTTCATGGCCTGCGGGCCCGCCGGGGCGCGGGACGGGGGACCAGGTCTTCTTGGCGTCCGCTCCCGCTCCCGCTCCCGTTCCCGGCCGCACTGGCAGCTCCCAATGCCGGGACTCCTTCCCCAGTTTGACCCCGCCCCTCAGCCCTCACTCCGCCCTCGGCCCCACCCTTCATCCCGGAGTCCTCTCCCGCAGCCTGCAGCCCCCGCCCAGTCCCAGGGCCACTCACCTTGGGCGCCAGGAACTGAGAAGATTTATTCACCACCCACTTGGGTAAGGAGCCTGAGAGGGCAGGGAGGGTGTGAGGAGAGGGCAGGGGGAGGCCTCGGGCGCCGCCCGCCCTCAGCCAGGGGTGGGATGGGTGGGTAGGGAGGAAGAGGGGAGACCGTCTCGTCCTCAACTCCTCCCTCCTCAGACCGAGGTCCCGGGCTCAATTCTGCACCCATGTCCCTCCACTGAATACCAAAGGCCAGCACACCCAAGGGAACCTTGGGTAAGCTGGGGGCTACCCCGGGTTGCAATTCTGAGCCAGGGTGGCTGAGCTGGCCCCTTCCCTCCCCTCACACTGACCTCCCTTCTCACACCTGACCCCTCTGCTGGGAAGGCCCCGAGGCTTGGTCCCTCCAGACCCCTCCCTGACCGCACTGTCCCCTTGGCTGATCAACTGGCCCGGCCCCACAGCCCAGTGCCCGGCTCGGCCTCGTTCCCAGGTGTCTGCTCCACCACACTCCCTTGATGGAGAGCACTGGGTAGCAGGCTCACCCGGGCAGAGAAGCAAGCAGGGGCCTAACCATCCCCTAGGCACAGGCACACCCGTCTGGGGCCTGCTGGTGTGCTGGGGAGTGGGCCCACCCAGCAGGGGGCAGTGACTCCCTGGGGATCAGGTGAGGAGGCAGCCCTGCAGGGGAAGAAAGGGCACGGAGCTGTGTGTGTAGGCTGAGGAGTTGGCTGCCCGGACAAGGAGGGGAGAGAGGGCGAGACGTGCACAGCAGGACTGACAGGGAAAGCCCGAGAGGGCTCGAGGGCAAAGGATGGAAGAGTGCATTCTAGAACCTGTCCTCTGGTGGCCGAGTGTGAGGGGAGTGAGTGTCAGCAGCGCCCTTGGAGAACCAGACGGGATGCGGCAGCGGTGGAAGGCAGGCTTAGGGGGACTGGGCCAGGTGGGGCAGTGGTGAGTGCAGAGTGCAGAGCGGTGAGCTCAGCTGCCCAGAATGCACCCTGAGGGAAATGGCCAGGGGCCGACAGCCACAGGGACCTGGATCTCAGCAGAGAGGCATGTGGTCAGCTGCCCCGGAAGCCATGGTGGGGGAGAGGATAGGCCTGGAACACCCAGGCTTCTAGCACGGCCAAAGGCTGGGAGCTGACGAGACAGACAGAGCGGGAGCAGCCAGAGCCTGGGCATGTGGGAGCCCAGGAGAGCCACAAACGTGCTCAGAGAAGCAGCAGCAGCACCCAGGCCCAAGTTCTCTAAACCACTGGAAAGTCACAATCCTCGCTTCCAACAACTCCCAGAACACAAAACAGCTCTCCACAGATGCCCCTCTGCTGTGCCATGGGAAGGAGCCCAGGATAGGCTGCCAGGCCAAGCCCTCACCTTTGGGGTCCACCTGGGCCAGGTAGGTGATGACGCAGCTCTTGGGCCCCGTGCTCTGGATGAGGTAGCCCGTCTGAATGGAGACCGCTCGGACCAAATCTTTCCGAGGTGGGTATTTCTGGGGATGGAAGGCACAGGGAAGTGAGCTGGGGGGGCGAGGAGGGGAGGAGTACACATGCACACAGGCACTCACACACAGCTCACTTCCCTGAGCGTCCGTGCCAGGTCAGGCAGGTGGTGGGGTGAGGAGCGGGGGAAGAACCACACCAAGTCATCCTTGCTCTCTTCTCGGTGCTTCCCTATTCCCCTGGGGAAAGCCCCCACCCTGAGCACACACACACTCACCTGGGCCCAGGCCAGCTGTCCTTGCCTGTCCCCTACACCCAGGGAGATCATGGCGGCCTGGCCTCGTGGAGGCCTGGAGGACCAGCCTCTCAGCCTTTCCAGTGCAGCCAGCAGGAGTCAGCCCAGCCCAGCCCACCCACCCACCAGAGAGGCCCCCGGCCCCCTCTCCCGATCCACACGGGAGCCTCAGCAGGAGCCAGAAGCCACTGTCCTGGCTGCACAGGAAAGAGATGGGGGGGACCGAGGGCTCAGGGAAGTCACAGTGGCACCCTCAGCCGGCCACGCAGCAGGCCCGGCGGCTCAACTCACAGGATGTTTGACTGAGTAGTTCATAATGATGTAATCAGTGCCCATGGGGAGCCAGGAACGGAGGGTGATGACATCACGGTTCTTCAGGGGCTTGGGACACCTCCCTGTGGAGGGCAAGGGAGTGTTCAGCCAGGCTGTGAGAGGGCATGGCGGAGGCCAGATGTGCAGGGAGGCCTGCCGGTGTGTGTGAGTGGAAACCAACCAGTGCCATTGTGAGCGAGTGCACACAGAGCCGTGTGTCTAGGAACGTGTGGCCACGGCTGGGCACATGGCTGTAGGTGTGCGTGTGTCGCGGTGTGTGGAATGTCCACATGAGTCCGCGAACGCACACGAGTGTGCACCTAAGTGTGCAGGCATGAACAAGCACGTCAGGGGGGCTGGTCCTCCGTCTCAGCCCTGGGTCTTCCCGGCCACGACAGGAGCCACTGGGAGGGAGGTGGGGGGGACTGTGTGCCCGGCCTGCTCACAGGAGTAGTAGCCCACGTCTGCGTTGACTGTCAAGCGGGCGATGTCAAAGGTCTCAATGACGTTGCTGTCCCACTTTTTCCGGTACTCGATGTCATGCAGGACATCGTAGAGCGTCTCGGCTGGCACGTCGCGGCACTCCATCCGGCACTGGAGAAAGACAATCGCGTTGTCAGGGCCGGGGGACACGGGCAGGCAGGCAGGTGAAGGGAGGGCAGAGAAGATGACAGGAAGCAGCGGGGATGCACTTCTTGCCACATGCCCTGGCCAGCTCCCCCAGAAGCCTCCTGTGCCAGGAGATGGATAGCACCTGCTTCCAGAAACCACCTCCCCACCTTGACCTAGTCTCCTCCTCCAGGAAGCCTTCCCAGCCAGACTCTTAGGTTCCCCCACACTGAACCTCTGTGTCTGTGCCCTCCCACAGCCAGGAGCCGTGCCACTCATGGGCAGAGGCTCACGGTCAACTCAGCGTGGAGCCTGGCACAGGTACGCAGTAAGTGAAAGTATTGGGGGCAAACAGGTGCCTAAACGGCAACCTTTCTCCTCCCACAGTCCTCGTCACCCGGCCACACAGAAAGCACTCGATTTCTTGCTGTTTATTAGCCTTGCCCTCAAAGGGCTTTCCATCTTGGGGAGAAGACGGCCAAGCACTTGTTTTATGGAACCCAACCAGCAGCTCTGCCAGACAAGAAATCCAAGGAGGAACTCGAGGCTCAAAGAGGTTAAGTAACTCGCCCAAGCTTACCCGGCTGGTGAGCAGCAGAGCTGGGATTTAACCCAGATCACATGTCCGGGGAGCAAGTGCAAACAGGACCAGGTTTCCCTCAGTTGCACTCAGCAAGATGAAACGCTGGTCAGTGTCCTTGGTCTGTGATTTTTCTGTTTTCTCACCCAGAGTCCAACCTCTGCGATCAAGTTTCCCTCCGCAAATGAACCAGTTATCTCGTGTAGTTTAAAACGGTTTCCCAGAACTGGCATTCACACAGTGCAGAGGGAACCCACACACAGCACTTTCTGCTCCCAGGGGACACATGCAAAGACTCGAGGGAGGACTAGGCTGTGGTGCCACAAAGGATGCCACAGGAAAAGATGCACCCACCCCTGTGGCATATTCCAACTGCCAAGAAACTTGTCAAGCCCCGGATGTGACCTCAGAGGACAGAGGAACAAGCTAAGTAACACCATGAGAACACAAGCAAAGACAGAGAGTGAGATGCTTTGCAAGGCTACTGGCCCAGTCTCCTACAGCTCAGGGTCATAGCCAAGGGACTGGGCGACACTGAGATGCAGCAGCCACATGTAAGTGTGATCCTGGGTTGCATACTGATTTGGATGTAGCTGTAGAGAACATGGGGTGGAGGTGGGGGGGGCAGGGTAGCACTGTGGCACAGCCAGTTAAGCTGCTGCCTGTGACGCCAGGATCTCATACTGCAGCACTGGTTTGAGTCCCAGCTGCTCCACTTGCAATCCGGCTCCCTGTTATTGTGCCTGGGAAAGCACCAGAGGATGGCCCAACTGCCTGGGCCCCAGCCACCCATGTCGGGGACCTGGCTGGAGTTTCAGAGTTCCAGGACCCTGGATTTGGCCCGGCCCGGCCCAGCCATTACAGCCATTTGGGGAGCAAACAAGCTGATGGAACACAGCTTTCTCTGTCTCTCCCTATCTCTGTGCCACTCTGCCTTTCAAATAAATCAGTCTTTAAGAAAAATAAAGGGACATTTGGGGACAACTGGTGACATACAGATGTGCTCTAAGATTCAGTGAAAACTTGTGGAAATAAACGCTGCCCATCCAAAGCAGGTAACAGGGAGGGCATTCGCTGTAGCAGCTAGGATGTCACCTGGGAAGCCCACAGCCCTCGAGTGCAGGTTCGAGTCCCAGCTCTGCTTCCAGTTCTAGCATCCTGCTGATGTACACCCTGGGAGACAGTGGGGCAGCTGAGGTAGTTGGGTCCTTGTCACCTATGGTGGGGGACCCAAATTGTATCCCGTGTTCCTGGCTGCTGTAGGCATTTGGGGAGTGAACTAGCAGATGGAAGCTCTTTCTCTCCTTCCCTGTATCTCTGTGTGTGTGTGCCTTTCAAATAAAATGAAAATAAGTATATAAATTTTAAGAAAGAGGCTGACGCCGTGGCTCACTAGGCTAATCCTCCACCTTGCGGCGCCGGCACACTGGGTTCTAGTCCCGGTTGGGGCGCCGGATTCTGTCCCGGTTGCCCCTCTTCCGGGCCAGCTCTCTGCTGTGGCCCGGGAGTGCAGTGGAGGATGGCCCAAGTGCTTGGGCCCTGTACCTGCAAGGGAGACCAGGAGAAGCACCTGGCTCCTGCCATCGGATCAGCACAGTGCGCTGGCCGCAGCGCACCGGCCGTGGCGGCCACTGGAGAGTGAACCAACAGCAAAAGGAAGACCTTTCTCTTTCTCTCTCTCACTGTCCATTCTGCCTGTACAAAAAAAAAATTTTTTTTTAAGAAAGAAAATATGTTCATTTCACTTGGGGAGAATATGCATAGAAGAATCTCAGAAGGCAAAGCCAGCAGTGTTGTTAACAGTGGCCCTGTTGGGGCTGGCATTGTGTGGTGGGTACAGCTGCCACCTGCAGCACCAGCATCCCACATGGGTGCCGGTTTACGTCTCAGCTGCTCCACTTCTGAGAGCTGGGGAAGGGAAGCAGAAGATGGCCCAAGTGCTTGGGCCCCAGCCACCCATGTGGGAGACCTGGGTGAAGCTCCTGGCTCCAGACTTCAGCTTGGCCCAGCCCCGGCTGTTGTGGCCGTCGGCAGAGTGAACCAGCAGGTGGAAGCTCTCACTCTCTCTGATACGCTTTCAAATAAACAGATCTTTAAAAAGTGGCCCTCTCTGCACGGTAGGATACGTGGCTTTCTTTCTGCTGTCTGTAGCTCTGATTGTCTCGCATGAACTGCGCTGTTTCTGCAGGGAGAGGAAGTGCTCAAGAGAAGGTCCCCGGAGGGCCTGTGCAGTGCTCACTCTGTGCCAGGGACCCCGCTCCCTTGCACAGTGCTCTGAGGCCTTAGCCCCACTTTGGAATCGAGAAAACCGAAGTTCAAGGCCAGCTTCCAGCCTGCACTCACTGTGAGACCCTGAAGAAGTATCTTTCCCTGTCCAGGAGGAGCATGAATGGATCCAGCCCCCAGTTCCAAGCCTGGACTGAGCCTGAGGAGCCAGAGATGAAGCCCAGCTTGGAAATGGAAGATGCCCCGCGGCACCCAGTGGGAGCGCAGAGTGGGGTGGCTCAGTCCAGGAAGGGGGCATGTGCAGTGACTGTGGCAGAGACAACAGCCAGGGCCAGGGCGTGTGGGCTAACTGACCGCGCTCTGTCTGGCCTGAGTTCCCGTGGGCGGCACAGCCGAACACTCAATAATGCCTCCATTCTGGGTCTTCTCGAAGAAATGGTGACTCCAGGGCTGGGGTGGCGGAAATAGACAATGAGCATGGAGCATCTCCATGTGTCAGAGAGGAAGTACTCCAAGAGTGACACAGACCTTGTCCGGAGGCCACGGGGACCACCGCGAGGCCCCACCGCCACAGCGGCCAGCTCATCGGGTTTGCCCCGAGCTTCCAAGTCTCCTGGCCTGGGCTAGCCCTGGGACAAGCTGTGTATTCCAACAGTGACGGATTATCATTCCACTGAGCAACACCGGAAACCAAAGTAGGTAGCGACATGAATAAATGAACGGAATGTTTGGTGAGGGATGGGGTATTTACACACCGCTTCAGAGTACTTTGCTATCAGAAGCTTACTGATTCCAGAGAGAGAATTCCTTCATGGCAGAGCAGGCTGGCAGAGACCACCTGAGGCGAGCGAGCCCGGTGGACAGCACCAGCATGAGGACAGGTCCCAGGCGCAGCCTGGTCGGATTCCACGGGAAGGACGCAGGCACCCCTGCATTGACGCCTCTGCCAGAGATGCAGGTGTAAGCGGAACCATCTGGAAATACCAGGCAAACCCCAAACGAGGGACCTCTGACCAAACAACAGGCCTGCAGGTGGCAGGGGCATGACAGGGGACTACAACAGACTAAGGGGACGCGAGTGAGTGACAGTGAACAAAGGGGGGGGAGTGATGTGACGGCGAAAGGCTGGAGGCTACAGCTGAGCCAGGCCCTTCCGTGGCAGGGACAGAGGTGTGGGTGCCACACCAGATATGCCACACCCCAGACTTACAGGGCGAGTCCTGGTGTCGTCCATGTGCTGCCTCATAGAAAACTGGAACTCAGAGGATGAAACAACTCGCCCACATCTCAGACAGCGGCTGAGGAGGCCCAGGCCCACAGCGGGCTCAGGCCCGGGGGCTAGGGTGCCCTGTGGGACACCCACATTCTCTTCTGGGTGCTGAGGTCTGAGTCCCAGCTCTGCTCCCGATCCCAGCTTCCTGCCAATGAGCATGCAGGAGGCAGCAAGGGACAAGTGGCTGGGTCCCTGCCACCCACATGGGAGACTGGACTGAGGTCCTGGCTTCTGGACTCGGCCTGTCTTAGCCCTAGCCATTGTGGACACTGGGGAGTGAACCACTGGTTAAGGAGCTGTCTCTCTCTCTGCCTGTCAAATATTTTACAAACTGAAGACAAAAGCAAGCAAGCGTTAAAACAACCAAGGCCTCCCTGCACCCCTGTGCTCTTAACCACCCAGGAGCGCTCAGTGCGTGTCTGAGGACAGCAGAATGCCTCCCAACCCCAGTGTGCACACTGTTTCGGCTGTGAGAGTTCTCAGGCGTGATCCTGGACCCGGAGTAAGCGCAGGGGCAGCAACAGCAGGTGGAATCACACCTGTGACCGCCCCTTCCCAGGGCCAGCTGCACCCCTGTGCACCCCCGGTGGGGGCAGCAGCAGGTGTGCAGAGTCACCACACACACAGACCGGGTGCCCAGGTGGCAGCGCCGGCTTCAGATGCCTGTGGAGGAAGGCCAGCAGCGCGGCCCTGCCCGGGGTCTGGACACTGGCTGTGGTGGTCCAGGTGAGGAATCAGGCCAGCCGGCCAGGTCAGGCAAGTGTCCGCAGGCGTCCGCAGCCTGGCAGAGTGGGCCCTCACCCCCGCCAGGCAGGAGATTACACCCAACTCTGCTTCTGCGGACAATGGCCTGGCCACACCCTAAAAGAGGCCTGGGGAGGGACACGTGGTGGGGTGGGACTGGGGGGCCACGGAGCACTGGGCGAATCAGCTCCTCTCACTGGGTTCCCGGGACGCCCCCTGGAAACCAGAACAGAACCGGGCTGCTCCGCCTGGGAGCCGTGGAGGCAGCAAGCCCTTCAGGCCTGGTCACAGCAGGGAGCCTGCCGCACACCCATTTCACAGCAGAGAAGATTGGGGCACAGAGGCCGTGGCCCTGGTGCTGCACTCTCTCCAGATCCCTTGAGGTGGAGTCGGCCTGAGTGGCTGGGATGGCCCAGAATCTTTGGGACCAGCAAGGATGACCACTAGGGGGGGACTCAAGCAAGCTCTGATCCCAGGAGTGTCAGTCTCCTCATATGCAAATGAGGGCGGGAACAGCTGAGGAAGGCCCAAGTGCTCTGGCCCCTGATGAAGCTCCTGACTCCTGGCTTCTGCCTGGCCCAGCCCTGGCTGTGGTGGCCATTTGGGGAGTGAACCAGTGGATGGAAGATCTCTCTGTCTGTAATAAATAAATCTTAAAAACAAAACAAAAAGCCGGCGCCGTGGCTCAATAGGCTAATCCTCCACCTTGCGGCGCCGGCACACCGGGTTCTAGTCCCGGTTGGGGCGCCGGATTCTGTCCCGGTTGCCCCTCTTCCAGGCCAGCTCTCTGCTGTGGCCAGGGAGTGCAGTGGAGGATGGCCCAGGTGCTTGGGCCCTGCACCCCATGGGAGACCAGGAAAAGCACCTGGCTCCTGGCTCCTGCCAGGATCAGCGCGGTGCGCCGGCTGCAGCGGCGGCCATTGGAGGGTGAACCAACGGCAAAAGGAAGACCTTTCTCTCTCTGTCTCTCTCTCTCACTGTCCACTCTGCCTGTAAAAAAAAAAAAAAAAAAAAAAAAAAATAAAACAATACCTACAAGGGGGATGGAACACTGTGACCAATGCCATATGTAAGTGCTCGGGCAGGCTTCCGCCCTCCCACACCAGGAGGGGCTCTGCACGTATCTCTTTCCATGGGGTGCCTCGTCCTGGTTCCCACAGCGCCCTCCTTTCATTCACCCACTCACCACTTTCAGAAGCCTACAGCAGCGGGGAACACCTTCCCCCAGACAGGCCCAGCCAAGCAGAGCGGTAAGAGGGACAGGGACACAAACTCACAAAACAGAGTAAGCAGGGTGCCAGCGCTGTGTGTAGCAGGTAAGGCCAACGCCTGCGACACCAGCATCCCACAGGAGTGCTGTTCTTGTCCCGGCTGCTCCACTTCCAATGTAGCTCCCTGCTAGTGCACCTAGGGAAAGCAGTGGAAGATGGTCCAAGCATGTGGGCCCCTGCCATTTACTTGGGAGACCCGGATGAAGCTCCTGACTCCTGGCTTCAGCCTATTCCAGAGCTGGTTGTTGCAGCCATCCTGGGAGTGAACCAGCGGCTGGAAGATCTCTGTCTGTCTCCGTCTCTCCCTCCCCCCACCCCAACTCTGCCTTTTGAAATAAACAAATAAATCTTTAAAAGAGACAAAGTAGAAAAAAAAAATCATAAATACAGGCGACCCAAGCAGGGCTGGGAGAGCGGGAGGCACAGGAACTGGGGGTGAAGAGCCGAGCCCCTGAAAGGGCAGAGAAGGGCGTTTTACACAGGAATCCAGTAGGTGCCAGATTATCAGTGTTTACTACACAAATAAAGACAGAGCAGGGCCCAATGTGCCAGCTATGTCTCAATCTACCCCTCACCTCCCTCTACCCCAGAGGACAAAGAAACCGCCAGCAGGGGGAGGCGACAGGCCCCCTCCATGGGCTGGGTCCTGGCTGTGAGAGCCGCAGGCCCACCCGGACAACAGCAAGCACATGGGCACCCACACTTCCCTGAGACCCTCCACGGCAGGGGTCCAAGATCCAGACCCGTGGGATCTGGAGGGTGGGGGAGGGTTATGGACTACCCCAGAGTCCAGGCAACCCAGGAGACGATCTCCTCAACAGCAACTCCAGATTTTCACTGGGGAAACTGAGGCCCAGAGCAGGGCCAGGGAAACACCCGCAGGCCGTGCTAACGCCTCACCAGGCTGCATTTCAGCAGCTGGCTCGGAACGACTGCTGACACCCCAGCCCCCGCCACGGAACCTGGTTCAAGTGAGAGGCCGAGCTCCTGCTGGGGCTGGGGCACGAGGGATCCCAGTCATCACAGCCCTGACGGAGGCTCCAGATCACCACGCAGCTCTCCAGCCCCCAAAGGAGACCGGAGCACTGACCCTGGGCCCCATTGGGGCTGAAGTTCAAGTCCAGCCGCCCCTGCCCGCTGCCAAGAGCACCACACGGAGTTTTTTACAGATAGCACCTGTGAGCCTCCAACACCGGGGTGGTAATCCCTGTCCCCATCTTACAGATGCTGAAACTGAGGCTGGAAAGGCTTGGTCATTAGCCAAGGTCACACGGCTAATGGTGAGGGAGCAGACAACCAGAGCCCAGGGGCACCTGACCCCACAGTGCAGGACTCTGGCCTTCATCGGGCCAGACCGGCCCAGCCAGATCCAGCATGCTGGCACTTGGAGGCCTCTTAGCCCACAGTGCTACTATGCTGCGCCCACTGCACTCAGAAGTGCCAAAGGGTCCTCCTGACTCAAGGCCCAGACCTCACTGCGCTGGGAGGCAGGGCCGTGCTCTTCTGAAACCCACTGGGAAGCCCCTCTGTGCCCTGCAGCCGTGGCACAGCCCCACCAACCCCACCAGCCCCACCTCACAGTCTACACAGCCGCTTCACCCTGCCACATCTCGGTGGTGTGGCCTTGGCTGGGCCAAGGACACGAGCCCGGAGTCCCGAGCGCGTCATCTGTCAGGCGGGGATCATCCTCCCTCAGAGTGGCACCGTGAGGATTAGATGAGGCTCGGACACAAAGCCTTCGGCAGCTCCAGCCCGGGACCCCGCGGCCTGCCCTGCCTGCCCAGGCCCTGCCCGAGGGGCAACACACTCCCTGCTGGTCCTTAGGCACAAAGTTGAAACATCACAAATGCCAAGAGCCCTCTACAGAGAGGCCAGCGCAAGTCCAAGTGACAGAGCACCTGCCTGTAGCGGGGATCCCAGAACGGAGAGGCCCATGACCCATCAGGGCACTGAGCTGGGGGAGTAGCCTGCGGGAGGGGTGCAGGGTGCCTCCTCACATGACACTGCCCAGGACTCCCCTCCTTTCCTGCAGCTCCTTCCAACTCCAGCCTGGCCGGGCCCTGCACAGGCAGCGAGCCCTAAGCCCTGTCCCTAAATTCTCCACATTGGGCCAGGGGTCCACTGCTCCTTGGCCCCTCCGCTCCCGCAGCATACACGGTCACACACCAACGTGCCGCAATGCCCAGGCCCCTCGGCACACGGCAAGTGCTCAGGGGCAAGCTGAGGCTGGGTGGCAGGCTGGACAGGTGAGCTAGCAGAGGCTATGGTGTGCAAACCGCTGTCACCTTTCAACACCGGGGCCTCGGCCCTCGGCCTTCCTGCGCGGGTCACGGGGAGACCCACAGTGACGAGGCCCTGGCCTCCTGTCCATTCTCACGGTGCTTGGGGACATTACTGTTCCTGCCATCACCCTCCCGTAAGGGACACAGGGCTCAGGGGTGTCTCAGAAATACCAGGGGGGACCCTGGGCTTTGCTTTATGGTCTGCAGCTGTTCTGACAGCCAAAGCAAAGCGAGTTACGACTGTACTGACGTTCTAATTTACCATGGGACAGCAGCAGCAACACTCAGCTATGACACAGCCACTGCTCGTGAGGTGGTAAAGGTGTTTCAGTAAGTGGCAGCAAAGATGGGTTCCACTACTCCGGAAAGCAATCTGGCAACTATTCTAGAAATCATACAAATGAGCCGGCGCCGCGGCTCACTAGGCTAATCCTCCACCTAGCGGCGCCGGCACACCGGGTTCTAGTCCCGGTCGGGGCGCCGGATTCTGTCCCGTTGCCCCTCTTCCAGGCCAGCTCTCTGCTGTGGCCTGGGAGTGCAGTGGAGGATGGCCCAAGTGCTTGGGCCCTGCACCCCATGGGAGACCAGGAGAAGTACCTGGCTCCTGCCATCGGATCAGCGCGGTGCGCCAGCCACAGCACGCCAGCTGCGGCAGCCATTGGAGGGTGAACCAACGGCAAAGGAAGACCTTTCTCTCTGTCTCTCTGTCTACTCTGCCTGTCAAAAAAAAAAAAAATCATATAAATGTGGCTTTCATCTCAGTCCTCAGAACCCCAAAACTAGGAATTTATACTCACGGGGAAAAAAAATCTAAGGAAAAATGCCTGCCACAACATGCATGTGTCTATTACTGCATGTGCAGCGAGCAGATGACGCCGAGGGCCGGACTGGCCCGCACCTGCCAGTGGGCCCCTTTCGGTGCAGGAGGACTGGGTGCCCTCGCCATCGGGGCAGCGGACCCTCCAGGCAGGGCTGCGCTGAGCCAGCTCCGCAGCCTCAGCTCCCATGAGAGACCTGGTAGGGAGCAGCTGCCGGAAATGTTCGTGAATTAATAATTCCGTAGCAATATGAGAAACTTCCACAGACGCAATGCTAAGTGAACAAAACAGGATACAAACAAGTACCTGTGCCGTGGCTTAAATTATGCATAAATTATCTACACCTCTGAATGAGGGCTGGTAGGAACCAAGGAAAAGTTCCACGCAGGGAGCTGAGGCTCTGGGTGATTCGTTGTTCATTTTTAGGTTCTTGTGACTGTGGCTATGATATTGTGTATATAAGATGTAAAAACTGCACTTTGCTTTCCTAACTAAAAGTGTTGTTCAGTGGTATGGCGGGTTAAACTGTGGCCTGTAACACCAGCATCCCACAGATGGGTGCCGGTTTGAGTCCCAGCTGCTCCACTTCCAATCCAGCTCTCTGCCATGGCCTGGGAAAGCAGCCGAAGATTGCCCAAGTACTTGGGCCCCTGCCACCCATGTGAGAGACCTGGAAGAAGCCTCTGGCTTTGGCCTGGCCCAGCCCTAGCCCTTGTGGCCATCTGGGAAGTGAACCAGCAGATGGAAGATCTCTCTCTCTCCCTCCTCTCTGCGATGCTGACTTCCAAATTAAATAAACAAAATCTTAAAAACAAAAAATGTGTTGTCTAGAGGCCGGTGTTGTGCTAAGCCAGCACCTGTGATGCCAGCATCCCTGCTACTGCGCCTAGGAAAGCAGCAGAAGATGGCTCAAGCACTTGTGTCCCTGCCACCTGAATGGGAGACCTGGATGGAGCTCCAGGCTCCTGGCTTTGAATTGCAACATCCCGACCATCACAGCCATTTGGCGAGTGAGTGAATCAGCAGATGGAAGATCTCCGTCTCTCTCCCTCTCTCTCCCCTTCAAATAAATAAATCGTTGGAAAATTTATTTATTTTAAAGATTTATTTGAAAGAGTACAGAAAGAGAGACAGAGACAGAGAGAGACAGTTCTTCCATCGGCTGGTTCACTCCCCAGATGGCTGCAACGGGCAGGACTGGGCCTAACCAAAGCCAGGAGCCAGGAGCTTCATTTGGGTTTCCCATGTGAGTGCAGGTGCCCAAGCACTTGGGCCACCTTCCACTGCTTTTCCAAGGCCAATATCAGGGAGCTGGATCAGAAGTGGAGCAGCTGGGACATGAATCAGTACCATACGGGATGTCACCGTTGCAGACGGCAGCTTTACTGGCCATGCCACGATGCTGGCCCCTAGTAAATAAATCGTAAGGAAAAAAAAAAAAAAAAAAAAGAAGAAGAAAGAGAGAGAGAGAAAGTGCTGTCCAGAAGCCCAAAGTTCTTATTCCCTGGTCCTGAAAGCCTGCACTCAGCCGAGGGGGGCCTGAGGTGGCTGGTGCTGATGCTGGGCTGACCCGGCCTCGCCCATCATCCTCTGGCTGGGCCCACTCTACCGTGCCAGGCCCGGGGAGCCAGGGCCACTTGGGCCTCTCACGCTTGGGCAGAGCCTGCAGGGTCAGCACAGGGGAGAAGCTGGAGATGCAGGCTCAGGGAAGAGCATGCATGCACACGCACGCACACTAAGTCCTGAAGATGGGCACAACAGCAGGTGGCACCCGGCTGAAAAGAGGAGGAGAGGCATGAGGCTGTGAACCGGGAGCCCTCGGACTGGCCGGGAAGAAGAGAGTGCATACCAGGGTGACCGAGCACGGAAGCGGGAAGCGGAGCTGTCCTTTGGGTGCAACTAATTGTTCGTTCATTCATCCATCCAGTGAGTGTGGCCACCTGGGAGCAGGGACGACTCTACCTACTGCTTACCGGTGGCCCGGGAGGTCAAATGCAGGGGGCCGGCCGGGAGCCCAGAGACCCCCCAAAGCCCACCCCGAGACTGCTCCCCCAGGCCCATGCCCTGCTCTGTGAGGGGCCCAACAAGTCCTGGGCAGGCCAGCACATGGGCAGCTGAGGCCTGTCCCTGAGGGGTCCATGCCAGGGGCTTTCTGTGGGTGTGAGAGGAGCAGGAAGGGCAGCTGGAGCACAGGGAGCTCGAGTGTGGTGTGCAGCGCAGGGTCTCCTTCCCTCACAGCTGGCCTCAGTGGTCCCATCTGCAAAATGACCCAACAAGCCCTGAGGCCCTCGCCTCTGGAAGGGAAGCAGACCTTGCCGCAGACGCCCCCAACCCATCTCCTCCTCGAAAGTGGGCCCCAGAGACTGGGCCCCTGAGACTGTGGTGGTGGGCGGCAGTGCTGCCGCATCCACCTTCCCTTCGGCTCCCTGAGCCCTGGAGCCAGGCCCTTCCCAGCTGGCCAGTGACTCATCCCCGGCTGCCTCCAGCCCCGCCCCGCCCCCTGGCCACCCAGCTGACATCCGACCTCGACCCCCCTCCCACTCCTCACCATTCCAGTGAGGAAGGAGGCCGCTGGGAGAGGTGGAGAGAAGCAGATCCACAGGAGAGGAAGAGGCTTGGGAGACCAGTGACCAATACACATAAGGATCAACACCTCCCTGGCCAAGGGGCCCACCAGTGGCCATGATGCCCCCTCGGCTCTCCAGCCAAGTGCTGGGCTCCGACCTCAACGCCTCTGAGCGGCTCTCGGGCCTCACCCCGCACACCACATCCAATGCAGACTCTGTGCCCCATGCCCGCTCCCTTCCCCTCCTGTGCCCGGAACCTGGCTCGGCTCTGGATACCTCCCTCCCTCTCATGCTCACCAGCTCTGCACGGCCACGATCGTCCCCACAGCCCCCTTCCCCGGCCCAGGCAGGCCTCCTGGACCTTGCCTGCAGCCGCATCCTCCTCCGAGCTCCTGGCTTCCAGGCCAATCTGTCCCCTGCAGCCAGAGCACTTCCTACAGCCCACAGCTGCCGACGGCATCGGCCAGCAGGAAAGCCTCTGCTGCCTGTTTTCTCTCTCTCTCTCTCTGCCTCCAGAATAAGATAAAATCCAAACTCAAACATCCTCCCCGCTCTGCCTCTGCCTCCACTCTTCCCCACTCTTAGTCCCACATCTGATCCTGGGAAGCACTGAGACGGGCTCGGCTTGCTCCTGGCTCCTGCTCAGCCCCCACGGCTCCCACATCCAGTACTGAGGGCTGGAGAAAGTCCTGGCTCCCTGCCCTAGGCTGTGCGCCACTGGCCTCCCTCCACCTGAATCCAAGTCCCTGTCCACGAAGGGCCATCATGGCCTGGATCTACCTCCCTGCCAGGGCCCCAGTATGACACAGTGGCTGGCAGAGTAGGCGGGAGGCGCGCAAGGAGGTTTGTTGAATGGATAAACAATGGGGACTGGGAAAACGGGGTGGGGGTGGGGAGGGGAGGGGGCAAACAGAGACCACAGGGACAGAAGCAGCCTCCACCCAGGGAGAGTGGGCAGAGACTGGGCTAGAAGTGCATCCCTAAGCAGAGGCCCCGAGACACAGACAGTCCAAGGCAAGGACAGCGGGCTTGGAGGGCAGAGCCAGGGCTGAGCCAGGTCGGGGGCGGGGGCTGCTGTGAGACAGCTGAGACAGAATTGGATCAGAAACAACTCGGCTTCTGCAGTGAGGGGGTGTGACTCACACACAGAGTAACGCCAGACACAGAAACACACGCAGTCCCACGCTTGCATGCACACACCTTCCACGCACCCTTACCAGCCCTTGTCAGAGGCCTGCCCTCCAGGACGGGGAGGAGGGAAAGGCCAGGGCCTGCCACATGGTGCTCCCAGCTCCTCTGTGCTCATTTCCCACTCAGGATATGAGCCCAGGACAGCAGCAGGGTCTAATCTGTGTGGTCTGCCACTAAATTCCTGGATGGAATGCAGTACTTGCCAATAAGCCATGTGCTGAAGGCACGTGCGGAATGAACACGTGAACTCCGTGCCCCTGGTTGGCAGGCTCCCGCCCCGACACTCACCAGGTTCCGGGCAATCTCAAGGGCGCAGGAGATGGTGGGAGACCTCGGGGAACCAGGGGGAGGGGGAGGTGGCCTGAAACCCAAAGAAGACATGAAGTGGCCCAGGCACCCAGAGACCAGAGGCAGTGCGCCGGGAGGAGACAGTCCCTGCACACAGACGCGGAGCACTGGGCCGAGGACATGAGGATTCCACAGACGGGCTACGAAGCAGGGAGGCAGGGCAGTGCACGAGCCCTCCCTGCCTGCCCTGTGCCACCAGCCCCAGGCTCTCTGCAGTGACAGGCAGAGGACTTCCCCTGGCAGGGGCCCTGCTCTGGGGACCTCAAACTGCTCATGATGCTCAGCGGTGCCAAGGGGGCTGAGGACGCTGCCAGCCTGACACCTGGTCCCAGTTGCTTTGCCCCCACCTTGCCAGGGACCATCTGCCTAGGAACAGGGCTTCTACCCTGTCTGCTCCGTGACCACCAGCCCCTTGGGAACAAGCCGGAATGGCCTAGCCAAGGCCCCAGATCCGCAGAGCACCCACAGCCCTGCCGCAAGGGAAGAAAGCAAACCCAGCTGTCTGCAGGACTCCCCCTTCCTCTCATCTCCTGAAAGTTTAAAGACTCTCGGCTGGAAACTGAGCTGGGGCTCGTTAAAGTTTAAAGGCTGGAGGCTGGGGAGCCAGGCTGGGGGCTGGGGGCTCCTCGAGGCCCAGGGCGACACAGAGTAGACAGTTCCCCACCCCACCCTCCTCACAAGGGTTCCTTGGGCCCCGGGGCAGTGCCAAGAGGGCTGCACTTCCATCCCCAGCACCCCAGGACCCAGCCCACAGAACGCTCACGGCCTGCACAACAGCAGTCATGCCCGAGCCACCACTTTCCGGCCATCACAACACCAAGGTCTCTCTGGGTACTATCCCTGGCTTCATTCCCCACAAACCCTGCCTAGTGCAGACCTCACGGCCTCTGCCTAGACAACTACAGCAGCAGCATACATCGCCCCCCGCTCCCCTGCCTACGACCCTCCCCTGGCACCCCAGGATCTCTAAGACACCTGGGCCCCAAGCCCCATACCGAGCCACCTACACACAGCTCTCCAAACGCACGCCCCTGTTTGTCGCCTCCACCTCCTGGATACAGCTGCTCCCCGCCGGGAATTCTCCTGAGCCTGTCAAAATCTCCTCCCCATTCTGCACCCAGTGCCAAAGCAGCGCTCCTCCTCGGCCTTCCCTGACCCGCACAGCTGGTTCGGTGGCCCCATGGGCCTCCACAGCTCCTGGGCCGAGTGCCCATCTCAGCTCCCAGCTGGGAGCTCCTTGAGGGCAGGGCTTGGTGGGACTCTCCTCTCTGTCCCCATCTCCAGTGCAGGGCCAGGCGGGAAGAGGCTATCGGCGGATGCTCGCTGGATGAATGAGTGAATGAATGAAGGAGTAGATGCAGTGCTGAAGGCAGCTGGCAGATGAGGACGGGATGCCGAGCAAGGGCGCTGTCCCAGGCCCCGGAGCCTGCACTCGGGACCCTGTGCTGTCTCTTACGCTCCACCTCGGCCCCGGCACTTCCTCCAGGGAAGCGTCCCTGGCACTACCAGCACCTCCGCCTTTTCCCTCCCCTGAGCTCCCCACCCCAAGGTCAGCACACAGAGGAGCTGGGTCCTGCTCCCTGCAGCTCTATCTTCCAGTTGGCCCCATGCTAAGGCAGTGTTAGAGCCAGGCAGGGCAGGGGTCCTCAGGGTCTAGCCTTGGGTTCCTGGGACCTGTCTGATGGCACACACTGGCAAGGTCGTACCTATCGTCCTCCCTGCGTCCAGCGGTGCAGCCTCCCACCCAGGCCTATGAAGAGCACACCACCTGCCCGGCAGCTTCCTGCAGACGTGGGAAACAGCCCCGTGGAGATGGCAGGGGCTGGGTTCTCCAAGCCAAGGCCCTGAAATCACAGATAGGACTGACCCAGAAGGGAGAAGTGACCCCTAAGGGCACACACAGCAGGGACTGGGCTCCTGCCCAGCTGGGTCCCCCCCAGGGCACCCTCCCACAATGACACAGCACAGGGAGACCCAAGAACTGAGGCTGAGATGTGAGCCATGGGGACGGAGGGGCCCAGCGCTGTTAATGACCAGGCCTGACACCTGGGCAAAGTGAGGCCTTGGCAACCCGAGGCCCTGGGTTCTGATCCAGCTTCGGCCATTTCTGGCTGCTTGGCCTTGCACAAGCGGACTCCTACGTCTGCCTGGTGGGATTAATGAGCCAGAGCCCACGGCAGCACAACTGTGAAGACAGCGAGAAGACGCAAAGCAGGCAGCTGGCCCTGGCCCTGCCCCCACCCTCCCCATTAACCTCGAGAGTGAGCAGGGCCCCTGGGGATCCCTGAACCACCCTGCATTTCCCAGGGGGACACAATCAGTTGCTGAGGGGCAGACCTGAGCCTTGGCTTGACAGCTTGGAACCTGGGAGGAAGGGGGCACTAAAGGGAAGGGGAGGAGCCTCAGGACAGGAAGTCAGAGGAGACAGGTGCCCGTTATCCAGCTTCCTACAGCAAGAGGAACCTCAGGTTCTCAGCCACTTCCTGAAAGGCCTCTCCCATCTGCTCCAGAATCAGGCCCCTCGAGACCCTGGCCATGCAGTCCACTGCTGTCGTGGGCACAGGCTGTCACCAGTCTCTGCAAGGCTGCTGGGGAACCTGCTCCCTGTGCAGCGGGGAGAGCAGGGACCACTTGGTACTGTCTGACCTCTCTGCACCAAGGTCTAAAAACCTTTGAGGAAGAGTCCGGGTCTCTCTGCCTCTCACATGGACACACAGGAGGCTGGAACAGGACAGGCGCCTGGAGAACCTAAGCACGCGAGCCTCCAGGGCAGGGCTGGGCAGCCCGAATGCTGAGTTCGGAGGTGCCTGGAGCCAGGAGGAACCCATGATGGACAAATAACCCAGGGAGGGACAGGGACGTACACACAGCAAGAGGACAACGCAGCCAGGTCTGGACCCCAGCCAGTCCTCTTCAATGAGTGGCACAAACACCTGGTTTGCCATTTCTTATACCAAGACAGGCACCAAGGGGAAGCCTGGCCTGGGCGCTCAGAGACCAGAGTTCAGCTTCCAAACTGCCCTCTGCCTTGGACCAAGATCCACATTCAATATCTGCCTCTGGGCCAGAGTCTGAACTCTCTGAGCACGGCGCAGGGCTGGGACCACTGAGGCTGGGGGCCAGGTGGAGGGTGGGGGTGGCGGGGGCCTCCAGCTGCCCCTTCCCTTCGTGCTGGCTCTCATCACTGGGCCCAGAGCCATGGTGGCTTCTGGACAGACACAAGGGAAGCGGGGAGGGAGATGAGGAGGAGGAAGTCGATTAGGTGAATAGATAGGTGGACTCCCCCCACCCCCTGGTCAGCGCAGAGCACGACCAGAGAGCAGCTGGCTTTTAGTGCCAGGGGCCCGCCCTGCAGGCTAGGGTAGGAGACAGGGGAGGGCTGAGTGACCCGATCACCCCAGTGACTCTGGCTTGAAACCCACTGCATGACCTCGGCAAAGCCACGCCTTTGTGTGGACCTCAGCTTCCTCATCTGTGGGACAAGAACGGGCTGATGAGAACACTGTGTCCTTCAGGGCTTCAGAGTTATTGATGAGGTTAAAGGCCTCGGTGTTGAGCAACGCCAGGAGCCCACGCAGGCCGGGGCTGCAACCTCACGTTCTCTGTAACAGAGACGGGCCTGAGGGTAAATTACAGGGCGAGAGGAACGCGTGGCTCGGAGCAGAGGCTCTCAGCAGAAATGCGATTAGCTGCACAGGAGCTGGAACTCCCTGAATCTTGGGGATGCGCTCAGAGGCTCTGCCCATCTCCCAGAGTCCATCTGGCTGTGCTGAGAGGACCAGCAATGGAGGCTGGCCCCTTGGGATGCCCATAAGCAGGTTCCCAGCTTCCTCCCTGGCCTGGGTTCCTCTCACTCCTGCCCCCAACTCTCCGTTTCTTGTGGGGAGCAGAGCTGGTGGTCAGCGTGAGGCGAAAAGAAAGACATCAGAGGGTTGGGCTGGGGGGCTGGAGAGCTGGGCGCCAGGCCAGGCTCTGCTGGGACTTGGCTACGTGACCCTGGGCTGGCCTCTGCCCATCTCTGGGCCTCAGTGTACTTGTCTGCACCCCAGTGTTCGGGGAGGAGAGTGTAAAACAGAGACTGAAGGGCCCTCTGGTACCTCCCACCTCTGCTCCGTCTGAGTTGGGGGTCTGGGCTGCTGGGGATGGAATGTACCCTGCCTAGAAGCCTACGATGCCCGCATTTTTCCATGTCCCTTCCACCCCCACTGAAGGCCACCCGGCAAGTCTGCTCTGGTCACGAGGGGCCTGTTGCGGCAACCAGGCCCCCAGACCTGCCACCTCCAGTGCTGGACTGGCCTGGGGCTTATTCATTAACCAAGCCAGATGGAGGAGGCAGCTCCACCCTGTTGACACAGAGGGTGGGAGTACAGGACTCTGCTCAGACCTTCGCCTTCCGTGGTGGTGAACCCCCACTTCCCAGCCCACTGTGCCGCACCAGCATTAAACCCCTCTCAGGTCCCTGCCAGGCCCTCTCACCACCACCCTGCTCCCCACTCCTTCCTTCAGCCAACACCCCAGCTCCATCTACGCTGGATGCCAGGAACCCAAATGGGACAGGATCTGCAACTGATCTTGGAAGCCCCAACCCGGGACACCTCAGCTGCCCTCCCCTTCTGCGGCTCAGACACAAAGTCAGACCCCAGGGTCCTCCGGCCTGGACAGAGTCCCAGAGGGAGGCAGAGTGTCAGATGGCCAGAGTGTAGACAGAGTCATGGCAGAGAGGACAGGCAAAAAGCCAAGAGGGGACAGGCAAAGTGGTAAAGGATTAAGGCCAAGTGAGGCAGAAGGGCACAGGCCAGAGGGGAGAGGTCAGGCCACTCAGGCCCTGGTGTGATCAGGTCCCAGGTGGAAGGGGGGCCGGTCTGAGACAAGTGCCCTGTCCCCTGGCCACAGGCACAGGCTCCTCCTTGGACCTCAGGGAGACAGCACAGGGGGACAGCAGGCAAGGGAAGGGAGAAGAGGGGCACAGCCAATGGCCAGGAGTCTGCGAAGCTACGCAGCCCCCTTGACAGGTGCCACTCACAGAGGTGCCAGATGTGCCGGGGGCAGCTACTGAGGCCCTAGGCCAGGGTCTCCACCAGCTTCCGCCCCTTCTAGCTCTCCGTGGGAGCTGAGTGTATGGGGTCCCAAATCCCACGCCTGCCCCACCATGGCAGAGAGGAGAGGTCCGTGTGGGCCTGACGGGTGGGCAGCCTGTCCCTGAGCTGGCTTGCCCAGCCCACCCCTAACCAACCGTGCAAGCCCTGCCTTCAGGATGCAGCAGCCACAACCGGGGGGACGGGAAGAGCAGGGCAAGAAGGAAGCAGAGCCTGAAGACCCAAGCGTGCAGGAGTCGGGGAGGAGACTCAGCTCTGGCGGAGGGAAGGATCCAGTTTTCCGGCGAAGGCGCTGGTCTAGAGCAGGCCAGGTGGGCCCTGGGGGCCAGAGTGAGTCACAGCCCCTCTCTGGGCCTCAGTTGGCGCAGCTGTGAGATGTGGGCTTGGCCCAGCACGCCAGGCCTCTTCCTGGTTCCCGGCAGGAGACCTTCTGGGCCCAGGTGCCCAACCAGGTGTCTGTGGCCCTTGGACAGGGGCCGGGAGAAGCAGGAAGGAGGGCCCGGCAGAGGCGGCAGCACAGCAGGGCACCCCTACCTTGATCTTGTGCAGAGTCCGGTCCATCTCCACAGCCTGCACCCACACAGACACGCCGGCCTTGCTGTAGGTCAGGTTCCAGCCCACCTCGGCCTCGCACTCGGACCGGAAGCTGCGGAAGTCCTGGTCGTCGGGCACCTGGACACTCTCCCGGCCCAGGACCGGCCGCGGCCCTTGGGGCTCTGTGGAGGCCATGGGGAGTGTGGAGAGGCCCAGGGCCCTGGTCCTAGTCCGGCTCTCCTGGGTCCTCTGCGAAGGCTCCGATAGCGTCGACGCGGCTGCAGATGCTGACGCCACCTTCCTGGGACCTGCAAGACCGGTTTGGGGACGGCAGTCAGTGCACTGGGGGCGCGGGTGGGGCCGCGCGGGGTCCTGACGAGTGGAGCGCAGGAGGGCGGCAGGGCTGCACCCCCCACCCCCAGGGAGGGCAGACCGGTTCAGGGTAGTGGCGGGGGCCACCCCGCAACGAGGACCTCAGACTTCCCCGGGCCCGGCGTGGGGGCTGCGAGGGGGTTTGCGGGAGTCAGGCGGGACCCGGGGCCCCCAGGTGACGGGCGGTGCGGCGGGGGCCCCCAGCGCAGCTGCGGCCCGGACCGGCTCAACTAACTCAGCAGCGGAGCCGGCGCGGGGGGCGCGCGGGGCGGGGCGGGGGCGGAGGCGGTGCCCGCCGGGCCGGCCCCGGCCGCTCACCTGTGCCCGCTGCTCCGCCGGGGCCCGCCGGGGCCGGGGTGCGAGCGGTGACGTTCTCCCGTGGAACCACGGGGGACAAGTCGACCGGGGGCCGCGCGGGGGGCCCTGGGGGGAGGAGCAGTGGGTGCCGCCGCCTGCCCCGCCCCGCGCGCCCTGCCCCCCGGGCTCGGCTCGGGGGCTCGGGGTGCGCGCGGCGCCGCTCGGTATTTTCCAGGCTGCGGAGGTGAAGCGGCCAGAGCTCCGGGCCCCGCCCCGCCCCGCAGGGTCCTAGTGCCCGCCCCCGCCCGCCCCGGGAGGGTCGGTCCCCAGGCCGGGACTGGGGCCCCCGTGAGGAGTGGCCAAGAGAAAATGGGCCCTGAGAGCCAGGGCCACGCGCCGCTACCAGAGGGACCCTGAAAGTTCACTGTGAGCCCCTCGCTCCACCCCCTCCCATCCTCTCAGGTACGCACCTCTGCCACAACCTTCGTACGCTCAGCTAGCTGTTCCCAGAGCCCGCAGGGATGGAAAGGTGCTTGCACACACCCCTGCGACCGGCAAGCGCTCAACTGGCAGGACGACCGCCCCAGGGCAACTCGGCGTTGCCTGCAGCTCTCAACCCCAAACAACCTGGAGGCACGTGGGACCTGAACACACCCAACCCAACTCCCAGCTCCTGCGCAGGGGCAAGGCTCAAGGTTCACAGGCTGTCGCTGTGACCCTCGTCACTCCCACCTGGGAAGACCCCCTCCACCAGCCCTGGAGAGCAGCCCTTGTCTACCCTACCTCTCCTTAGTACAAGGCACCCCGCCCCGACCCCGGGCAGCACTGTGCTCCCAAGAGCAGGGACCCTCAGAGCTCTGGGGCTCCCTGGTCCCTGCCCAGGCAGGGCAGGCTGCTGCCCCGGGGCGTCCGTCCAGCTACCCTCTCCAGCCCTAGAAGGCTGCCTCTGTGCCCTGGGTCCTAGTGCCAGCTCGGCCTCCATGTTGTCTGTGTGAACTGAGGCCAGGCTAGTGTGCAAGCGGCAGCCTGTCTCAGGCTGAGCGTTCAGTCAGACCAGAGAGGGGAAGAGGAAGCCTGTGGTGGGCTCCTCTGGGCGGGCAGCTTTCAGGGCCCAGCACGTGCCCACCACCTGCCTGGGGTGAGAGAATCCCTGCAATCCTGGGCTCCTCTGCCTCCTCCTGCCCCAGGGGTTCTTCCTCTGCCCTGCTGCCCACCACCTTGTCTGGGAACCAGCACGCATGGCCCAAGGCAGCTCCTGGCCTCCCCACCCAGGGCCTCCTGATGGAGCAGCTTTCCTTAAAGACGCTAAGAGGAAAAGGAAGCATCTTTAAGCTGGGTTCACAAATGGAGGTGTTTCTTCCAGACTTGGAAGACGTTTATAAACCAGACCTAATTTTAGAAATGAGTGGGGGTGAGCAGGGAGCCCCGAAGGCAAGAGACCCCAAAGAGCATTCTGGAAAGTAAATGCTGTGAAGTGAGCTATGGGGTGGCCTCGGATCGCCAGGCCTGCCATCCACAGCGTGGGAGGCAGAGTCAGACCATCACACACACACCCCACTGCTGTTGGACGCTCTTTGTACACTGCCTGGGAAAGAGTGGAGGTGGAGGGGTTGGCTCTGTGCCCCCAGCCCAGTACCCTGGCCCAGGCCTCCATGGCTTTCTCTGACACCCTGACTCCCAGGCTAGTGGGAGACTCAGAAGGGCCCCTGGCACAGCCAATGCCTGCTTTGTAAACTGTAGCCTCTGGGTTCTTCCACGACAAAAACAGATGGCAGCACTGGCCTTGTGGCTCTGCCTGTTTAGTGCCCCAGTAACACACATCTCAGCAGACAGCAGGCATGCCCATCACCCAGGCCAGGGAGAGACAGACCAGGCTGGGTTGACAGCAGAGGTGGCAGTGAGGGCAGACAGACAGAAGGACTTCCTCACCCCAGAGGGCGGACAGATGTCCAGGGAGCTGCAGATGGCAGGAACCAACCATCACTCACACCCAAACACAGATTAACTAAATGAATCCTTTGGGTCTTGTTGGGGGGCGGGGACTGGGCACTCCCAGGCTCGGGTGGCTGAGCCCTGGATGCAGCACTGAGTCTGGTTTTCAGGTCAGACTGGAGGGCCAGTAGGGAGCCAAAGGCCATCACCCCATCCTACTCTCCACCAATCTGCCCTTGCTAGGGCCCCTCCTGACAAAGTGGATTCAGGACACCCCGGGCTGCAGAGATGAGGGCCCCATTGGCTCTAGGACAGATGAGTGATCCCGGGAGGGCTGAGAGGACCTCTGAGGGAGGGTGCCACCCCTGTCTCCCGCAGCCTGGCAGTGCAAAGGGCCTGTGCCCCAGGTTTACATCCTGGCTCCACCAGTTCCTGGCTTCATCTGAGAATCATTGCAATGAAAAGAGTTGTATAGGATCCTGTTTGCTGCCAGAATGGAGCTGGGGACATGGGGCAAGGAGAGGCACCCTGTCCAAAACCACTGGGCTCCGGCCGGCGCCGCGGCTCACTAGGCTAATCCTCCGCTTTGCGGCGCCGGCACACCAGGTCCTGGTCCCAGTCAGGGCGCCGGATTCTGTCCCGGTTGCCCCTCTTCCAGGCCAGCTCTCTGCTGTGGCCAGGGAGTGCAGTGGAGGATGGCCGAAGTCCTTGGGCCCTGCACCCGCATGGGAGACCAGGAGAAGCACCTGGCTCCTGCCATCGGATCAGCGCGGTGCGCTGGCTGCAGCACACCAGCCGCGGTGGGCATTGGAGGGTGAACCAACGGCAAAGGAAGACCTTTCTGTCTCTCTCTCTCTCAATGTCCACTCTGTAAAAAAAAAAAAACCACGGGGCTCCAACCAAAAGTACTAAGGGACCCACCTCTGGATTTGGCCGTTAAGCGTCTTAGGGAAGATTAAAGGGTGGAAAAGGCAGGAAAGCGTGGCCCCTGCTCTGCCCACAGCAGCCCCCTGCCTCAGACCCAGTTCCATCTACAGGAGGTGGACAGAGGAGCCTCTCCCAGCACCCCCAGGGTGGGGCTCTGGCTTGGCTCTTTTCTGAGCGCCCGCTCCAGAACCGGGCCTCACAGAGCAGGAGCTGGAGTGGGTGCGGAAGGTGACAGTGTGGACGAGAAGGTGCTTGGCAAGCTGAGAAGCAGCACGGGGATGTGAGAGCTCACTGTCAGGGCGCCAGGCAGGCCTGTGTCTCACGCATGCCCTGGCAGAGAACGCTGAGGCCAGGGAAGGGCGCTGGGTCACCCAAGTCAGAGCCCATGGGGGACCTCCAGTACCCCAGGGCTGCGATGGGGTCATGGGGCATCATTTGGGGAGAGTCACACCCCCAACAGTGTGGGGGCAGAGGTCAGACATCTGCCTGCAGCCACCCATGACCTGCACCCTAATACTTCCCTCCAGTCCCGCCTACGAGAACTAAAGACTCAGGCTGCTATCACCTGGCCCCACCTCCTCCTCCCACCCCCTCCCCTGTAGAGATGGTCCAACAAAGGTCCAGCCAGCAGGGACAGGGCAGGAATTAGAGCCGGGGCCTGCTGGCCCCCACCCAGACACTGCCCTTTCTCAGCCTCCCCCAGCAGCCCCCCAGGCCCAGTGGCCTGGACAGTGAGAGGCCCCTAGTCTTGCCTTACTCCTGGGGTCCACCCCTACTCACCATCTAGCCAGACAGACGGCTGCCTTGATCTCCCCTCTGGGAGATAAGAGCCCCCCCAGCAACCCGTTCTTCCCCCGCCCCCTCCTCAGGGGCCAGTTTGGGTGAAACGAATTCTCAGGTTGTCCAGGCAATGAGGCAGTGTCCAGGAAGCGCTGTTCTAGAAGATTAGGCAGTGACCTGTGTGATGTCACCAGGAAGCAGCAGGGGGGCAGGTGGTGCCCGGGGCCCTGGGGAAAGGCCCGGGACAGAGTACAGGGAGGCACCGCAGCCCAGATCTGAGTGTGTGGACCCGGATCTAAGTGTTTGCGCATGGCGGAGCTCACGCCCCTGAGGGAGCTGCCAGAGCCTCATGGTGCCACCCACTCAGGGCCACCCACATCCCCATACAGCACCTTATACTGCTGTCATAGACCCCTGCAGCATGCTCTGTCTCAGTCTCAGACGTGGCCGGCCCAACCCAGGCATGCACGCAAGCATGGCCACGCCAGGGCGCACGCAGCATCAAGGTGCAGCTGTCACAAACACAGGACTTTGTGTGAAAGGAGAATTTCAGATCAGAAATGAATGAGTGCAATTCACTGTAAGTCCATGCCAGGTATTTGAGAAGCCTGGCAAAGTTGTGACAGAGGCCCTGCCACACGCACCCGGCACCAGCTAGGTTCCGGTACAGACCCCCCGGGGCCAGTGCCCAGGTCAGAGTGGTGCACACACCTGGCCCCCACAGCCTCTCCATGGAGAGGCCCTGGGCAGGGTGAGCACTGGCTACACACATTTTGTCCCCTCTCATAGCCCCTTGGCCAGAAGGGCCACTAGGGAGCATCAGCCCCACGTGACAGCTGAGGGGAAAAAAGGCCCAGCAGGACACAGAGCCCACCCTGCTATCCCGGCTTGTCCCCTGGGGATGGGAAGCGGAGCTACCCCCACCCCCCACCCCGGGTGCCCACAGCATTCAGGCAGCAAAGAGTTCCCAGGAGCCTCTTCCCTCGGGAGCAGTAATAGCTTAGGGGCTTGGGGGGCCCTGCCCTCTCCCCTCACCCAGAGGTGGTCCTGAGCTTTGCCCAGAGGCCCTGCTAGCTCCTGAGTCAGGCCCAGCTTCGAGATTATCAAGAAGGAACCAGAAGGAGGAAGTCACACTGCTGCCAGGAACAGGGCTGCGGTCTCGGGCTGGAATTCTCCCACGCTGGGACACCTGGACAACCTTGTCCTTCCCCAAGGTCCCAAGGGGCCCCCCCCCTTGTCCTTCCCCAGGGTCCCAAGGGGCCCCACCCCCCCCAACCCCCGCTGGAGCCCGGAGTCCAGGGGGAGGGCCTGGTCAGGCAGATGGATGGGGCGCCTCTGACAGGAAACGCCAAGGCCTGTGGAGGAGGCATCGACCCGCAATTGAACCGAGCTCCCGCAGGCAGCAGTGCTGGCGGGCAGCAGCAGGGGGACCCCCCTCTGCAGAGCTGCAGAGCCGTGGGGTGGCCAGCCGGCCTGGGCCCTTCTGGATGGCGACACTGCCTGCCCTGGTGACGCCCCGCACGGCTGCAGGCCCGGTTCCCTGTCAGGGTAATGCTGCTCCAGAAGCCTCCCCAGGGAGCTGGGCGAGGGGGTGGGGTGTCATCGCCAGGTCCTTCCTGCTGGCAGTGAGGGCGGGCTCTGGTTAGACACCCGGAGCCCGAGCCCGAGCCCGGCATAGAGCGCTCCCAGGGCTGTGGTGTGCAGAGGCTGGAGGACAGGTTCGGGACAACAGCAGGGACTAGGGAGCCAGGCTGTCTGGGCAGAACCCCTCTTACTTAGTGTGTGACCTGGGGTCAGCGACTGAACCTTTCTGTGTCTCAGCTGTCCCATTTCTAAGATGCGTAGACTGATAGATAGTTGCTGTCACCACCATGGGGGTAAAGTGAGTTAGGGCACACGGACCCTTAGCATAGCGTCTTCAGTAACTGCCGCGGCTGCTGTCGGCGCCTGTCTCTGAGCCACCTTATCCTGGGCCTGGCATCCGTCGTTGAGGCATGGCCTCCTTCCTGCATCTTTGTCCCCTGGACTGCAGGCAGTGCCTCCCTCTTCTCCTGTCGCGGGCTAACGGAGAGCCTGGAAGGTCAGTGGAGAAGCAAACTGGGACGATGACCTCTCAGTCCTCTCCCTCGCCCCCATCCCAGGCGGCCTGGTTGGGTCCCCGGTGGGAGGCCTTCACTCAACAGTGCTTGCTCCTTGCACCTGCCCAGCCCCCTCCTCAGTGTCTGCCAACCGGGCCCTGAGAGAGCCGAGGGCACCGGGCGCCTGGCTGTGCCCCTCCTGGGGCTCATTTCCAGGACCCTGTGCAGAGCTGCGGTGGCACGGATTCCCTGGGGGTCCGACTGAGACTGGGACTGCAGGCTCTGCCCCAGGTCAAGGTGCATCCTGGGGTCAAAGTCCACTCCTGGAGCAGATCCCTGCAGCATGCTCCGCCTCCAGGGGGTGGGGACTCCTGCCAATGGCCCCTTCCCTCACTGACTCTGTGGGCCTAGGTCAGCAGGCATCTCCCAGGCCTCCCTCGGGGAACGCTGCCTCCTTCAGCATCTTCTAAATTTAGGGCTTGGGCTCTGTGACTCATTCCTGAATCTGTGCTGCGCCCCTCCTCCAGGAGTGTGCTCCCATGGTATTTTTATCCTCTGCTGCCTCAGACTGATTACTAAGGCCCCAGAATCCCACAGGAGTCACACATTCCACGGAGAGCTCCCTGGTCCCTCCCCACCCCGGGGCCCCAGGCTAGCTCTGGGTTTCCCTCCGACCAGGGACTACGCTCCGCCTCTCCTTAGCCCTCCAGCTTCCCAACCTGGCCCCCAGGTGGCCATACTGGGGGCCTCCACGCAGGACTGCGGGGCTCTGGGGGGAGGAGCGATGGAGCTGAGCCCGGCCCCTCCTATGCAGCTGCTGGGCCGAGCGTCACCTGCAGTCGGCAGGAGCCTTCGGTTCCCACCTTTCTGCAGGGCTGGCTGTTCTCCGCCGTAATAAGGGGTTTGCACCAGACTTCCATTAGGGAGGCTTGGATCGATGCTGAAGTCGTCTCCGCCTTCAAAGCGGGTGGCTGGGGTGGAGGATCTCATGTTGGGCCCTGACTCCCACCCAGGTGACCCCCGCTCCCCCGTCTCCGGGGCCGCAGCCCCTGCACCATTCATGGGAAACACAGGCCAAGAACCTGTCAGTAGCCCTCTTGGGCTTCTGCCCTGCAGGGAGGGCGGGCTGTGTGGGACCCCACGGCAGGAAGGGCTGGGAAGAGGCTGGGATCTGGTTTTGGTGTGACCGTCAGGGATGGAGGGATGGAATGTGCAGCTGTGGGAAAGAATCACCCTAACTCCAGGCCTCAGCGGGGAATGGAATCGCGTGCACGTGAGGTGTGAACACCGGACACACCTCTTTGGGCCAGGCTCCCAGGGTCGGAGGAGGAGATGGACACACGGTTGCCCCCATCAGCTTCCAGAAATGCAGATACCACTTAGGGCAAGGTGTGGTGTGGGGGTACCTGGGAGGCAGACAGACCCGGGTCTGTGCCCCCTCGGGGCTCTAGCAGAAGCCCAGGGGCTACCTGCCTCAGCCTGTGCTCACAAGTAACAATGTGGCTAGCCTTGATTAAAGGGCCTGCCCTGTGCTTGCTGCTGCTCTGTGCACTTAACAGGTCTTAACTCATTTAATTTCCAGTTAAACCTGGAGACAGCCCCAGACAAGGCTTACCACCCTCACCCCACAGACGGCCTGAGGCTCGGAGAGGGGTGGTGACTCACCCAGGGGCACAGCATTAAGTCACTGGGAAGACCCGGTAAAAGCCAAGCCTGACTGCAATCCTGGCTTCTGTTTGCTTCCCCAAGGCCGCTCTTCTCAGAGTATACATTAGACACTCAATAAATGTTTGATGAAGATGTTTGATCACTGTCATGTAACGGAAAGATCCCTGTCCTAGTCCAGTTCTTCCCCTATGCCTGGGTGTCCTAAGAGTCCTTTCGGGGCTGGCGTTTGTGGCACAGCAGATAAAGCCACTGCCTGCGATGCTCGAATCCCATATGGGTGATGGTTCCTGTCCCAGCTGCTCCACCTCTGAATCAGCTCCCTGCTAATGCGCCTGGGAAAGCAGCGGAAAATGGCCCAAGTGCTTGGGCCCCTGCACCCACATGGGAGACCCACATGAAGCTCCTGGCTCCTGGCTTCAGCCTGGCCCAGCCCTGGCTGTTGTGGTCATCTACAGAGTGAACAGCAGATGGAAGGCCTCACTCTCTCTGTCTTTCTCGATATATAACTCTGGCTTTCAAATAAATAAATCTTTTTTTTTTTTAATAAAGAAAAGAGAGAGTCCTTTTCCATCTTTAGCCTGTGTTTCCCCAGCTGAGAAAGAGAAAGGACAGGTGAGCACCTGCAGCTTAGGGACTTGGAGATGGGGAGGATCTTGGGTTCCCGACTCTGCAAACACCTGCCTTTCACAACAAGCCTGAGGGGGCCCCAGCTGCAACCAGATCCCAGCCCCTCCCCCAGCCCCTCCAAGAGTACTGAGAGAAACAGCTTGGGAGAGCCCAGCTCCACCGAAGAGAAAGGCTCACTTCCCCCGAGGATGGCTGCAGGGTCCCGCAGCTGGCATGGTGTGTCCATGGTGCCATCTCGCTGCTCCAGCTGTCTGGGGGAGTAACTCCTGCTCTCACCTCAATGTGCCTCCTTTCCTGTCCTCATCCTCCAGGCCATCCAGGGATCCCCTGCAGCTGCCGCTGGCCCCACGTGGAGTGACCTGAGCACCCAGTTCCGATCAGGCTCAGAAATGAGTCCAACGCTTTCACGCTCCTTTCCGTTCGGAGCCCTGCTCTGCCTGCTGCCCCCTCAGCTGGCACGCCTGTGTTCTCGCCCTTACCTGGGCCACTGTCCTGAGAAGCCTGGGCTGCACTCCAACTCCAGCAGCACTGTTCTTGTCCTCCAGGATTCTCCAGATCTTTCCTTCTACTGTCTCCATCGGGTCAGGGGTATGCTTGGTCTCTCTAACCCCGCATCCAACAAAGACACGGGTCCTCACTGGAGCAAGGGAGGGTTCCAGGACTAATGGCAAAATGGTGGCGCTTTAACCTTTGGTGCCAGACGGCCACGCCTGGGGCAAGCCCTTGCTCCTCTTCGGGTGCTCAGTTTTGCAATCTGTAGATCAAGGAAATGGGTCCCTCAGTCAGTGATCTCCTGACTATAATCGTCTTTCGCCTTTACACACTCCTCGGGAATTGAGTTTTCGCCCAAGGTTCTCATTTGATCTTCTCAATGACCTGGCCTCATGTACAAATGACGAAGTTTAAGCTCCCTGAGGGAACAGAATTACCGCAGTTACCCAGCAGGTCAGAGGCAGGGCCGGGGCGCCAGGCCCCGGTCCTGAGCCTTCTCTGGTCCTCTACACTGTGAGGCTTGGGAGCTGGTTGTTCCATTTGTAGGACTGCCGTGAGAGTCCACGCAGAAGCAATGAAGAGGGCCGTACGTTGCAAATCATGAAATAACAGCAAAGACGACGAGACGGATACGTTACTACGAAATTTATTACTGTTATCCTCGCTCAGGCGCCCCCACGTGTCCATCCCGAGAACCTCCGTTTGCGCAGGCGCCCTTCAGTGTTTAGAGGCCGCGAGGCCCCGCACTTGCGCCTGCGCAGCGGTCGTGGCCACTTTGTCACCCGGCTCCCCGGGGCTCCTATCTGCTCCTCTTGGGTTGAAGAGGAGCCCCAGAGCAGCAGAGAGCTAAGCAGCAGCAGGAGGAGGCACAGTCAGAGCCATTCTCCTCACCAGGGGCTCTGACATTCCAGTCACCGCTCCGCTACGCCTGTGGAGTCCTGTATCGCAAACGCGGAGAGCGCTGCGAAGTCGACCGAAATGGCCTGCGCACTGCCTCATGGGAGTTGTAGTTCCCAGGTAGAAACTCTCTGGGACTGAAACGCTGTTAAAACTACGACTCCCAGAAGTCCAAGAGCAAGGGTCGCGAAGAAGGGTCGATGGCACGTTGGGAGATGGAGTTTTTGGAACTGTGCTAGCCCTGAAATGATGCTCCATAGCCAAGGGCTCTGGTGGTGGGTGTGTGTTCCAGTTACACTGTAACTCCCTGCCCAGATGGGTCAGAAACTATCCACAGGTCACCCTTTGCTTATTTGTTTGTTTGTTTATGTATTTGAAAGCCAGAGTTACAGGGAGAGACAGAGATCATCCATCTGTTGGTCCACTACACAGATGGCCACAACGGCCGGAGCTGGGCTACACAGGAACCAGGAGCTTCCTCCAGATCTCCCACGTGGATGCAGGGGCTCAAGCACTTAGACCATCCTCTGCTGCTTTCCCAGGCCATCAGCAGGGAGCTGGATTGGAAGTGGAGCAGCAGGGACTGGAACCCTTGCATGCGGTGGCAGCTTACTCTGCTATAACACCAATCCCCCTTTGCTTCATTTCAATACTAAGCTCTTTGTCCCCAGGAGGAGCTTAATCCAACTCCCTGCTAATGCACCTGGGAATGCAGTGGAAAATGGTCCAAGTACCTGGGCCCCTGCAACCCATGTGGGAGATCTGGATGGAGTTCTGGGCTCTTGGGTTTGGCGTGGCCCAGCCCCGGCTGTTGTGACCATTTGGAAAGTGAACCGGGGGTGAGACGATTTTTTTTTTTTTTTTTTGCCTCTCTTGCTGTCACTCTGCCTTTCAAATACAGACTTTCAAAAAAAATACTACTCGTCAGCTGCCTGCCCGTCCCAGAGGGCTTCCTTCCCCATCACTCGTTGGGGACTGCGCTCACTGCAGTAAGCAGGTTCTGGCAGTGATGGCGACGTTCTGGGTCGGCACCATCCAATATAAGGCAACCAGTCTGTGGCTGCTGGCCCCTTGTTCCTAGCCACTCACTGGCGTTACCAGTCTGTGTTGGTTCCTTGAAAACCTAAACACTGGTTTGGATGATAAACATCAGCCCTGCCATTCAGCAGACTAATAGTAGACACAGAGAAAAACAGCTGTATAATTCACAGCAAGTAGTGTATTTCTCAAGGACGTACACTGTGGCTGAGAAATCTCATAATCACCCCCTGATTTGAATGGCGACTTCATTGTTACTAACTTGCTTTCTAAAGTCATGGGCTATCAGAAACTTTGCTTTTAGAAATTACATGAACGTTAAAAAAGAAAGGGAAGGAGGGAAGGAGGGAAGGAGGGAAGGAAGGAAGGAAGGAGGGAAGGAAGGAAGGAGGGAGGGAGGGGGGAAGGAATTACATGAAGCAGAAAGATACTTTAGCCTGGGGACTCTAAGGCAGTAAGTGGACAGGATTTACAGCCCAGGTGTAGAAATTCAGGTAATGGATCTCACATTGCTGGGGCTGGTGTTGTGGTGTAGCCGGTAAAGCCACTGCCTGTGATACTAGCATCCCATATGGGGGCTGGCTCAAGTCTCAGCTGTTCCACTTCTGAACCAGCTCCTTGCTAACTCCCCTGGGAAAGCAGTGGAAGATGGCCCAAGTGCTTGGACCCTGCACCCACATGGAAGACCCGAAAGAAGCTCCTGGCTCCTGGCTTCTGTATGGCCCAGCTCTGGCCATTGTGGCTATCTGGAGTGAACCAGCAGACGGAAGATCTGTCTCTCCATCTGTCTCTGTAACTCTTTCAAATAAATAAATAAATCTTTTTTTAAAAAAATCTCCCATTGCTTCACTTTGTTGTTCTCAAGGAAATAAGACCTTGGGCCCCTTAGCAGTTCTGATGTGAACCCCCTTAAACACAGCTCCGCCGTGCTATGAGCTTGTCAAAACACAAGAGTTGCTTCACTGACATTTCACCCAATGTCAAGAGGCCGTGGGCAGAGGTACGCACTGGGCACTGTCAGGTTGGAGATGCCCAGGCCCCCAGTTGCCCTGCTTGGCCACTGGAGGCTTAGGAACTGCAGTCCGCGGACGGGAGCCGGCCATCGCTCCCCTGTCGGTGGCAGGCAACGTGCTGGTGCGTGCTGGATGCTTCCTGTTGTCCCTGGCAGTGGCTGAGGTTCACCATGCCCTGGCTGTCACCATCTGCCCGGGCTCCTGCGCTTCCACAGCTGTCTCGTGCTCGCTGGCTTCATCTCCGTCCGAGCAGAGCTCCATCCTGAGCGTTCTGGTGGAGCCACCCCCAGGTACATGCCACCTGTGCGCTCACAGCCACCGCTGTGCTCTGGCTCCTTGCCCTTGGCATCAGACTGACTTCATTCCAGAGGGAAGACAGTGCCGCCACCATGCAGGAGCCCTGGGATGCCGCTGCACGACCACTGCTGCTCCTGCCTACCTGTCAGTGCAGCTGCTTTGGGCACAGCCTGCCCCCACCGCTCCGCAGCAGCCGGCACGGCTTCTGCACTCCCAGGCGAGGGCCCACCCCAGGACGACCCTCCAGCAGCAGACCCACAGCCAAGCGGCCGGCCATACTCATGGGGCTGTTTGCTCTGTGCCGGCTACCAGTCCCTGCCATCAACGGTCACTCTTTTCAGCCAGCTTAGACTAAAGATTAAGTCCAAAGGGACAAAGAACAGGGCTATTCTCCGGTCACAGGGCAGTGCAGTTGTCAACCCCACTGGGACTGAGATTTGCGCTAAGCCTTTCCTAAAACCATCTCCAGGCACGCTGATGTCAAGCGTGGGAATGAGCAGGCCAGGGCCTAGCCTGCTCTTACACAGGCCTTTGACTAGGCCCTGGTCTCTTCGAGGAGTCGGCACAAGTGTGCAATAAGCAGAGGGACCGGACACGACTGGCTGATCCTCATCGGAACGGACAGCTAGGCCGGGGGCTGCCCCTCGAGCACTTCTCTGGAGTCCCCACGGGTAAAGCCAATCTGCCCATGTAATTGGCGGCCCCCGGGAGGACAAGCACATTCATGGCTCTGTTTGGCTGCTCTTACTTTGTGGATGCTGCTGACAGCTTGAGTGGATGCTGAAAGACTTGCTTTGTTTGTAAAAGTCTGCCTTGCTCATGGTAGAAAATGAAGCCATTTGCTGTGAAAAAACTGTGAACTATTATAATGTAAATATTTTTAAACTTAGGGACAATGGAAAAATACAAGTAGGCTGTACTAAAAATGTGTACTTATTCTAAGGGAGGTGACAAAGGAAAATTAGAAGTATAATTCTTCAATCAAGAAAATACTATGTTAACTTATGGAAAAATAGTCTCATCAGTTCTTAAGTAGAATTATCATCAAATAATAATTTTAAGCTCTGTTCTTTTCTTTCTTTCTTTTTTTTTTTTTTTTTTTTTTTTTGACAGGCAGAGTGGACAGTGAGAGACAGAGACAGAGAGAGAAAGGTCTTCCTTTGCCGTTGGTTCACCCTCCAATGGCCGCCGCAGCTAGCGTGCTGTGGCCAGCACACCGCGCTGATCCAATGGCAAGAGCCAGGTGCTTCTCCTGGTCTCCCATGGGGTGCAGGGACCAAGCACTTGGGCCATCCTCCACTGCACTCCCTAGCCACAGCAGAGAGCTGGCCTGGAAGAGGGGCAACCGGGACAGAATCCGGCGCCCCGACCGGGACTAGAACCCGGTGTGCCGGCGCCGCAAGGTGGAGGATTAGCCTAGTGTTAAGCTCTGTTCTTTTCCATAAAAGAAACCTACCTACGAGGAAGAAATGGGAGAAGTGGGATCCCTCTCCTACCAGATTCTCCCTTCCAGAGCTAGGTAGTGACTTTTACTTCTCTCCCAAGTTCAAATTTGGCCAATTTCTTGAAACACAGAGTATGAAAATTTCAACAAGAAAAATTATATAACTATGTGTTTATATCAGCTAAAAAAAAAAAAAACTTGTTAAAAAAATAAACCCCACTAATCTCTGCCTCATGCTGGAAGCAGAAATAATCTTTTTTTTTTTTTTAAAGGCAGAGTTACGAAGAGAGAAGGAGAGACAGAGAGAGAGAGTGATCTTCCATCTGCTGGTTTACTCCCCAGATGGCCAGACCAGGCCAAAGCCAGGAGCCAGAAGCTTCTTCCTTGGGCCCCTACACTCATGTAGGAGACTGAGATGGAGTTCTGGGCTCCTGGCTTTAGCTTGGCTCAGTCCCAGCCGTGTGGCCATGTGGCAAGTAACCAGCAGATGGAGGATCTCTCACCCGCCCCTCCCCATAACTCTGCCTTTCAAATAAATAAACCTTTTTTAAAAAATTGTATCAACTGAATCAGCTGTTTTGCAGAGATCAGTGTCCCAAAACCTTCAAAAGCTGGGAGGATTGGGGTAGGGAAGGTAGACACGGGACCTGATTTGCTCTGCCCCATGTCACTGTCCCTTCAATAGAGTCGGGCCCCAAACTGGAGGCTGCAGAGGGCTGCCTGTCCCCCTTTCTCCCTCTCTTGAGGCCCTTCCAGTGCCCCAACCGCATCACTGAGACACTAGGCTGTCTCCCAGGACCAGCTCTGGCCCTGCGGCTCGGGGCAGACTTCTTTGGTTGGGTCTGTTTTTTTTTTTTGTTTGTTTGTTTGTTTTTTTGGTTTTTTTTTCTTCTCGAACACCCTCTGAAAGCAAGCACACTTCAGCAACCTGAGGCTTCAACTTCCTTGTGAGGGACTCTCTTGTCTACAGCCCACTCTACCTCTACCATATTAACTGAAGAAGTCTGTATTCCTCTTATTCACATCACTTCAAGCTGACTTCTGAAAAAACTGGCTGGGGTTTTGTCCCTTTTCTTGCTTATTTCAAAGCATCCTCCACGTCAGCCAACGCTGGGTAGTGCTGCGATCGCGTCTCTCCCCTGGGGGTTTCGGTTCGTCTCTGCCAA